ATTACAAATGTCTTGAAAGTTTTTGTCTTCACAAGTATACTTTATGAGTATTATGAGTATTATCGCATTTTTGTCTCAGACGAAACTGTTTACAATATGTATAGTGGATGCATATTATATTTTGCTCAGTTTTCCAGAGCAGGTTCAACAAAGAGTGAATAACAACTAAATAGAGCGGTTGCCAGTTGACAAACCCCCTTTATATTTACAATGCAGTTGCGTGAATGTCCACTACTTTCTGAACGAAAGGTTCAACATATTTTAATATTTTGTATGCTCCATTGGGCTTCGGATTGCACCATCACCTTGTCATTTAATCAACTCAACCTCACCATGAGCATACGCAAGCATCACTAATATGGGGAGCAACCCCAGAGATGAGGGAGATACACGCCGTACATCCATTGTGCACAGTACTGACAGGGTACGCACATGCTGTCACGTATATTATGTACAGCGGACATTGAAAGAAAATAACCGATTAACCCATATGCATATGGTTAACTGTTCGTGTATTCTTAACGGTTAAATAACCGGTTAACCTATCTAACCATTTCACCCTAGTCAAAATGGCGCTGTTTGCTTACAGACTACAACTGTATTGCCATCGATCCACACTGATCAATCCAGGAAATGTGCGCATGTTGTACATTTTTAGTGTATTTTATAGTAGTGTGTCTACTGCATGTGTTTCAGGACTGTAACAGTCACACTACAACAAAAGTCCGACACTCCAGAACAACCCCACACAAAATCCTGTGGTCGACCAGCCAACAAACACAGCTCTGGGTTGAATGACGAATTAGTGAAAAACTATAAAGAGAAAAGAGAGGTGAAAGAGAAAACCGCCAACACATCTCCAGAACGACAGAGCCTCACTCTCTCCCTCCCTCCCTCCCTCCCTCTCTCTCTCTCTCTCTCTCTGTCTCTGTCTGTGTGTCTGTCTTTGTCTTTGTCTCTCTCTCTCTCTGTCTCTCCCTCTCACGGCAACTAAAAAAACAACCATATCTCAAACCACACCTCACTCATTTTACGCTGTAGGATGAAGATGAAGGGGAGGTTGGCGATGAGAAGAAGAACACCGCAGGGTTTAAGCATTTATTGTTCAGTGACCCGTGTCGTTTGGCGTATAATGATTCTCGGTTTACAATAGTATTGTTTGTTTTGCAAAGAATTTCAATCAGTTAAAAGTCATAGATGCTGTTTACATTCACAAGCGTAAGCCAGACCGATGCATTCAGAAAGAACATGTCACGGCATCCACATTCTTTCCTTAGCACCGTAACTGTATTTTGCACATATGTTTGTTTTATTCACCCTCTCTCTTTCTCTTTTCTTACAGTTACACTTGTGTTTTATCACACTATAGAATGACTGTGCATGTATTTTATAGATTGCGATTATTATCACTGTCGGGAAGGAAAACACCAATTTTACAGGGCCCTAAAAGTCTGAACGATACCTATGAAATGCACTGTCAAAGCAAACACAAAATATGAATATGCAAGCTCATGCCTGAGGGGAAGATGAGAAGTTGAAACGTGGAGATTTTTCGGACAGGACGAGAATCCGAAGAACCTGGGTGATTCCCTTACTTCCACAATGGGCTAGTGGCTGCATCACAAAAATTATACCTTGCAGTGGGTGCAGAGACAGATCAATAAACACTAACCTGAGCATGAGAGCTGCTCGTATTCATTGCGATCGTCAGGAAAATGGCAGGACGAACGGACCAGAAGAATGTTGGCTATGACAAACAACTGCATATCCAGACGACACACGGCTTGACTATTTGCTTATGACGTTCAGCTTCGAGGTCCAGCACGATGGAATTTTCGGAAGGAACTGACTTTTGAATTATTTGGGGAAGAAGATTGCACTCAGAAAAGGTACCGTAACTGGTTTCTTTCATTTGAAAAGCTGTTCACCAAAGTCCTAAACATACACTGTACGACGTTTCGGAGCTGCTCCAAATCGATCGATTTGTTTTGAATGGTTTCGCCACCGCTTTCCGATCGATCGATCCTTGCGCGATCTGTCGATCGACAGATCGCGCAAGAAAATCGATCGATTTTCCAAATCGACAGAACGCGCACAACAGATCGATTTGTTTTGAATGGTTTCGCCACCGCTTTCCGATCGATCGATCCTTGCGCGATCTGTCGATCGACAGATCGCGCAAGAAAATCGATCGATTTTCCAAATCGACATTAAGCGGGATTCACAGAAGCTTTTTTGCGATGCGACACGCGATGCGACAGCCGCGAAACCGGGAAATCCCCAAATCGCAACCATCGCGGACCCCACGCAACTGCCGCAACAGGGCCATCGCAGGCCATCGCAGAAGTTGAGCTAGCTTGGCTCAACTTTTGCGATGCGATGCGATGCGACAAGCGATTTGGTGTACGATTTTGACCTTTTCTACAGCAAAGTTGTACAAAGGTGCAAGAGTTGCCTTGAAATTTTTACAAGTTGTGTCAAACCGCGCGAATATCATGGTGACGTACCCAAATCAGCAAAACTTTGTCGCATCGCTGACTTCTTCTGTGAATGGTATTTCGCGAGTTCGCATCGCACGCATCCATCGCAGATCGCGTCGCATCGCGTGTCGCATCGCAAAAAAGCTTCTGTGAATCCCTAACGCGCACAACATTTACATGTATTAAAAAATAGATTTAAAAAAAAATCCGCCCGCCCGCCCGTAAAAAAAATGTCCATGTTAGTCGAACCACACACCTTCTTTAGTTTGGCCTAATAATATTATTATCATGTTCGATTCCTGCTGAAATTTCTTTCTTCTCTCTCTATCTCGCCAAGCGGCATTTATCTCGTGCAAGCTAATTACTAATAGTAGATCTACTTAGACATATTAGGCTGTCCCAGCTTCACTGTCAGTTTCAAGCACAGCTTGCGTGTGGCCATTCTACTTTGGATCACACTGTCTTTCAAAGCGTAGGATGAATGACGAGACCCCAGTACGCTCGTAATCCCTTGCACCTTGAAGAGTGAAGATCTGTCGTTGTAAGCAGCGTGGTCGTGAATCTGGTGTCTAAGCCGCCGAGCAGCTATGAAAGGGAATGTCCAGGTGTGCTGCCTATCGTGAAGATGGCGATTCACGGCCCAGGTTCAGTGATGGTGCTGGTCGTGTGTAACCATGCACAAGACATCGGGGTCTGCTGTTAGTAGTTGACGAAGTAGTTGTGCAGTGGACATCCGTCTGAGTATCGTACTACGTTTAGCGCCAGGTCATGTTGCTGCTGGTGGTGGACTGGAGTTTTGCCAGAGAAAGAAGTAGTTCACGTTGACCGTGCAGTCACGACGGAGTGTCATAGAACACAGTCGAGGCAATACTATTAGGAACTGATACTGCCCTGTGCCATGCCTATGCCTGGAGCCTACACACAGGAACTCAAGTGTAGAGATCATGCGAAACTGTTTGCTGAAGAGCATAGCCTGGCACACATATCACCGAGAGTAGATAAACAAGAGTGTGCAACTCGCGGTTGGGTAGGCCCACGGCGGAATTTTTTGCGAGCCTTTCGGAAAGTTGACCCTCGTGGTCTTGGCCGGCTTTACACTACAAGGTCGGTGCCCGGCACGTGCTCTCACACTGCTCTGCGGCAAAATGCGCGTTCTTCTGAAAAAAGGTGACGTCAACAAAAAAGTGGGGGGTATCTGCAGATTGTGCAGGAGAGATCCGGAGTTGCACACTCTTGTTTATCTACTCTTGATATCACCAAGAGTACATGATCCGCAGTACATAACATAATTCTACTCTTGATGTTACATGTATGTGAGCTGCTGGTGTCGTCTCACGTAGTTTGCGAGCGTGAATCATGCGTTTGTTCTCACCGCCTTGTGAGCCGACGTGGCCATACGCGCACCGTAACTGCTGCGTCTGGTTGAAGCACTTGTTCACGAGTTGTCTCACTTCCCTAGTCACTGTATCACCGTCTTTCATTATTATTTTCTAGCTTGGTACGTGAATAATTATTATAGTAAAAACTAACATTGCAACCTTGCCACTGGACTTGCCACTGGACTTGCCACTGGACTTGCCACTGGACTGGCCACTGGACTTGCCACTGGACTTGCCACTGGACTTGCCACTGGACTTGCCACTGGACTTGCCACTGGACTTGCCACTGGACTTGCCACTGGAGCCCGGACCGTCCGTCCAGTGCTCGGAACATGCGTGACCGGTTCGTAATCGTGAACGAGAGTCAGGTTTAGGAAACACGCAACCTGCACGTGCCCAGTCGCTACTCTTTGTTAGTCGTGAGTATATTGTGTGAACATGCAGCCAGTCATATTGCCGCACTGATTAGGTGTCTTGTGTGGTCAAGTCTCCCGGCGGCGAGTATGACTCAACGCCTGGTATTCAACAGTGCAGTGAAGTCTGAATGCAATGCATGGGGCACTGGACCATTGGATCGCAAACACGTCCATCCACCCGATGACCGGCGTGTGCAGAACACAGCATATGTGTCTACACTGTACTTGGTCGCAATCTGCTATCGTCTGCGGCTCCGGCATTCATCTTGGAAGCTGTATTGGCTGGTATTGTAACAATGCATGATGTTGAACACCGGGTTGCCCATGACTGTGCTCAGTTTAATTAGGTACAGAGCTAGTACATAGTACTCCCTCTAAATACATACCGTCCTGCTGTCATCTACTCCCATTCACTACCTACATGACTGTATTCCTCGACTCAAGAAGTCACGTCCACAACCTGCAGTACTGTAAAACCGGAAAGTATAACGAGTCGCAATGTCTAGCGTTTTAATTACCAATTTGTCCCTTATTTGAAGGAACGTTATCGTGAACCCGGTTTGAGATGTCTGTGTAAAGATGTGCAAACAGCCATGCATGTTCTTTCCGTCTTACAAACATCGATAAACTTTCTGCACGGTAACATGCCAAAATTACAAAAAAGGGTAATTTTTTTGGAGACTTTACTTCTACCTGCAAACCCCAGAAACGGTCCTTCACTGCGATTCAAATTCAAAATTTCATTTAAAACTCACAAAAGATATAATTTGGAAATCTGATGACATATTTGCAACAAATGCACTGCGCCTTGCTAGCGCTGAAGCAGGCAAGAAAGGGCAATGCACCGAATAGAAGAAACAGCAACTTTCCTCGTAGTATCATAGTCACAGCAGATCAATTCAAAGTCAATCACTAAAAAGAAAAGAAAAAGGGAGTGCTGCTCGAGGCGAAAGGGAACCGAAACTGGGGACTGGTCAAAATCGGCCACAAAACATAGTGTGAGTACATACCATACAGTTATGTATATTTTAAAGGAAGCATACAGCTTGCTAAACTAGCTCAGGCAACTTCCACCAAGAAACTAGGGATACTATCTCTACAAGTGTAAAGGAAAAAAACAGAAAGAGCTAAAATACAAAAACATAGGACATGCAATCACATCCTGCGATGCTCAAAATATACACAACAACATTGGGGAGGACTGCACGCAGAAAAAACAGAGTGGACAGGAAAGCATTGTGAAAGGGTGTTGGTAAGCAGGTGTGTGTATGTGTTAGTGCGAACACATGCGCGCGCGCGCCTGTGTGTGTGTGTGTGTGTGTGTGTGTGTGTGTGTGAGCGGGAACGCATGTGTATGTGGTTGAGTGGCAGTGGGTGTACATGCGATGGTGTGCATGCATGGGAGCGCATGTGTGGGTGTGCATGCGTGGATGTGGATGTACATGCGTGGATGTGCATGTGTGGATGTGCATGTGTAGATGTGCATGCGTGGATGTGCATGCGTGGGTGTGCATGTGTGGGTGTGCATGCATGGGAGCGCATGCGTGGATGGGCATGCATGGGAGCGCATGTGTGGGTGTGCATGCGTGGATGTGGATGTACATGCGTGGATGTGCATGTGTGGATGTGCACGTGTGGATGTGCATGCGCGGATTTTTATTTTTATTTATTTTTTATTTTTTACGAAGTCCACTATGCTGTGCATGCGTGGATGTGCCTGTGTGGGTGTGCATGTGTGGTTGTGCATGCGTGTGAGGGCCGATAGTGACAGACACACCCGAGCGCGTCAGCTGGCAGAACCGTGGCATAGTTTCAGATAGGCTTGCCCGGGGCTCTGGAGTACAGGAAGATGGAGAGGAAGAGAGAGAAAAACAGGGAAAGACAGACACAATGAGGAAGCAGGAGTAGTTGCTCACGGCCAACAAAGGCCGATGACGATAACATTGAGAGAGAGAAAGAGAGAGAGAGAGAGAGAGAGAGAGAGAGAGAGAGAGAGAGAGAGAGAGAGAGAGAGAGAGTAGTAAGTTACATTTATAAAGACAGGTAAGTCTAACAAATGAGGACTGAGACCTCTACAACAGGGTTTTTACGCCTGAAAGCAGGTGCATGATTTACCAAGCAGGTTGTCAGTCTAGATTTTATGCGCAGATGGAGAAAAAGCGCAGAATTTTGTAATGAGATGAAAAGCAGAAATAATAAGAAATAATAAGAAAAGATGAAATGAAAGCCTGCTCACAAACCCGCCCAGCCTTGCGAACTGGGTATGGTGGATTAAGAACCCGGTTCAACGCTCGAGCAAGCGCTCTCCACTCAAGGTGTTCAAAGCAACTGATAGGAACTCATATGGGGAAATTAGAGAAAAGAAATAATAAGATAAAGAGAATAAATTTCAACGCACCTCAATAAACGGAGCAAAAACATACAGTACCTCAGAAAAGTGGATCTTCCGACCAGTGTTTTTGTTGACGTCGCAACCAGATGATGTAGCTGCTTCGCAGAGACGTCTTACTGCACAAATTACAAATAAATTTTATTCTTCGATTAGAAAACCCAAGGCGCTTTCAGAGCCCTCCGAAGAGAGTCCGGGATGAAACCACGCACACCTACCTCAACCGAAAAAGAAACGACCTGCCACCCGTTTGCTCGGCATTGATCGGCCAGATCCGCATACCGCCTGTCCTTCCGCGAGTTACTGACACTGAATCTGTCCTCAGCACAAACTGTCAACTCCATCCAGAATACAATCCTACGACTCGTAGAGTACAGAACTATATCTGGTCTTAGGGTGGTAAGTGCAACACAGCTAGGGAAAGAAATCTTTGCACTAACTGAGTCGACAAGAAGTTTCCAGTCTGAGGCCGCTGACAGGAGATCAGTCGTAACCAACTTTCGTCTGGGCTGAACGCGAACTGGCTTCTCTCCCGCCTTGCAAAACGAGATGAAGTCAAGCTCATTCGAATTTTCGGTTTGTACGGTGTTTGCAGCAGTGCGGATTCGAATCTCCTCACGCATGTTCCTGACGATGACCCCGAGTACGTTGTCGTGCCTCCAGGTGTAACGTCCCTGGTCCAGCGCTACGCGCCAAGCGCCAAGCACGTGGCGCGTAGTACAGGCCCAGGCACGGCACAAACTACAGTACGGATCCACTACGGTGTTTCCCCAACGGCGTAGGTTCGTCGGAGAAGGTAGCACGTCGAGGGTTGATGCGAGAAGAAATTTCAAATCCTTACCAGTACCACCGTACAAAAGGAATTTCCACGAGAGGTCCTGCCACATCACCGATGTCCACTCCAACCACTTGCCTTGCACCTGAAGAGTCTTCAGCCTCAAGATCTGCTCCTGCGCGTTGATCTCCTCAAATGTTTGAAGGAGATCCTTCCTCGGGGGTTTGGAATGCTGCTTCGGAGCACGAGCACCCAACCGTGCACGATGACTTGAAGATGACGGTGGACGGAGAGTCCCTGAATCTACTGATGCCTCTGCACACTCCAGCTCTATTGTCGCCGCATATCGCTTTGTCAGCTTCGCATCCTTACTCCGACGCAGAGTGTACAGCGCCCTCATGCGCGCGTCCCCACTCGATCGAAGAATGTGCCATTTGATGGACTGGCACTTTTTCCACACCGTAGGAAGGTAGTGGAGGCGTAAGCCAAAGCGTTTGCGACTGCCAATAAAAAGAATGGCAGAGTTTGCGCATCGAGGTAGGCCTGACCATTTCTTCAGAAATGGTAAACACATAAAGTGCAGTTCACGTACAAAACCTTGTGTGAGTTCAAGAACCTGGAAAGACGAGAGAGAGAGAGAGAGAGAGAGAGAGAGAGAGAGAGAGAGAGAGAGAGAGAGAGAAGAGAGAGAGAGAGAGAGAGAGAGAGAGAGAGAGAGAGAGAGAGAGAGAGAGAGAGAGAGAAAGAGACAGAGAGAGACAGAGAGACAGAGAGAGAGAGACAGAGAGAGAGACAGAGAGACAGAGAGACAGACAGAGAGACAGAGAGAGAGACAGAGAGAGACAGAGAGAGAGAGAGAGAGAGAGAGAGAGAGAGAGAGAGAGAGAGAGAGAGAGAGAGGAGAGAGAGAGAGAGAGAGAGAGAGAGAGACAGAGAGAGAGAGAGAGAGTGAGAGAGAAAGAAAGTGGACAGTGCATGGAAGGAAACAGTTGGAAAGCATCATCCTATGTCGTCCACATGTATCAAAGGAGACGATACCCTCTGTTTGTGGTGCGACGTTAAATAAACTTCTACAACAGCAACATCAGACACAGGTTGCGCTTGTTTCAAAGTCATTGCACCTTGTTTTGGTTCCAGTACGTTTGTTTGATACATTCGGCTGTGTTCGCGCAATGCCGATTCCGGTCGCTGAATGAATAGAGCAGAATCGTTGTCGGCGATTCCAAACAAAAAGTGGAATGAGTTCTCATTCCGAGCGGAATGACAATGCGCTTCGGCCACTGTGGCCTTTGTCGCTGTTGCATACCTCCGCCAACAAACTTTAAACTCGATTCTTGCCATACGCAATGTTGCCGGACATTGTATAGGGTATAGGGCGGCACTGCACGCTCGGCATAGTTACTTGTTGGTGGTATTTTGACCCTTGGCTGCCTGAGAAAGTGTTCGCACAGGATAAGAACTGGAAAGATGGCCTCGCACCTCTCCTCCTCATCGTCGAGCAGGGCCTCTAGAATCACAGCGAGACTAGCAAGAACTCATTGTCGAGCCCCACGATCCACAGCACCTAATCTTCCAAACAGGTACTGAGCCTGCCACTTGGTTTCTGCTCACTGCAGTGCCTAATTTCTGTCAAATAAAAAAAGAGCCTCAGTTACGTGTAGAACTAGAGATGTTTCTGTGTCTGAGACGAGGTGTCGAATAGTCATGATGAAGTAGTGGACAAACGCCATGTATAGGCACCCTAGTTACGGGTGCTCGTAGATCTACGCCGCGTTTGGCCGCACCATCATCTGGACTGTTGTAAGGGGCATGCAGAAATGTACGCAAGCAAAAAAGTAACTACCGATAGCCTTGGCAAGGCTGCAAGGCTACAAAACAACAGGCGAAGCTGGTACACAAACAAAACATCCAACCATCATTTCCAGAGTTGCACAAAACGCCAGATTCACTAGTCAACGCGGGCGGGTTTGTTTGCTACCCTCATTCCGATTCCGCGATGGGTACCGACCGCATGGCATGCCCATTCGGGGAATGACCGAACAAATGCAACCTTAAGCTTTCCATGTAAAAGTAGTGCTGGGTTGTAGGAAGTGGACTTACATAACTACGTCAGCAGGTCAATCTCCCCGGAAGAAGATACTTCTTCAATTGAGTATACATGGGATTTCGTTGCGGGTGCAACAACTACAAATGGTCGCGCCACCTTGCATTTAGTCGTTGACCTTTGCGGTACCCGTTGGCTGACTGCAATTGTTGTTGTGGTCGTGTCTGGCTGGGCTGCAGCCTGTTGGTCATCACCACCTTCCTCCTCGGTGGTGTTGGGGGGCAGGATATCCACGGGGACAGTGACAGGAGTGTCCACAGGCAGTGTCCTGTTGAAGTGGAATTGATGACATCAATAAGTTATTATTTATTATTATTATTATTATTATTATTAGACACAATCTCATAGCATGTGACAAGCATAGCTAATGCAGGGACAGAATCCCCTGAGACAAGGGCGTTGAGCCAGCCACGGCAATAGTTAGCTAGGAAAACAAAGCAAATATGAATTAGAGCAGAAAATGAATGGAAAATTACAAAGAAAAACGATTAACGGAAGTGAGCGCTATCAAAATTTGTGCATCACCCAGGTATTCGAGAATGTTCTTCGATGATAATTATTGCGTCTAGTTCAGTTGTGATAGTAGATCTTTAAACTGACCAATAGAAGAACAAGTTTTCAGACCGTATGGTAATGATAACCAATGAGAGTAGCCGGAAAACAAAGGGGACTTTAGATACTGGGCTGACTTAACAAGAGGCAGGATGAGCGCGTTACGGGTTGAGCTTGTCGAAAACCAATTGTACTTCATCATGTGTGAAGGGGTTTTATGAAGAAATATTTTATGAACCAGTGTACAGAGATGGTGCTTATGACGAACGGAGAGAGGAGAAGTGTGTGCAAGTCGATAAAGGGCATCCGAAGGAAAACATCGATCCTTGTTGTAAAGAATTTTAAGTATAAATCTATGGTGGACTTCTAATTGGTTCAGAGTTGTGTCAGAAAGGCCACACCAAGCGGTATCGCAATAGTCGAATATAGGGAGAATATAGCACTGATAAAATAATAGTTTACACTGGATGGGCAAATGAGTGCAATGTGGTTGTAGTACCCCTAATGCTGAACTTGTTCGCTTGCATACACAGTTGACATGTGCAGCCCAAGAGAGTTTGCAGTCAAACATCACACCTAGATGTTTGTGCTGAGTAACAACACGGATAGGCATAGTCGAGTCAGGGAAGTATAATGGTTGATCAGGAGGGGATGAAGAAATATACATGGCTTCTGTCTTGTCTAAATTGGGCTGGAGTTTCCACGTTTGCATCCACATGACAGTGCTGTTGATGCGATGCTGCATGGTAAGGAGTAATTGTGCAGGGGAGGAGTCAGAACAGATAAGGCCAGTGTCATCCGCATACAAACTAACATCGGGGACAACTGAAGGTAGGTCATTAACGTAAAGCAAGAATAACAAAGGACCCAGAATGGAACCTTGGGGCACTCCAGACGTTACAGGGAGGGGATCAGACAAGAAATAAGACAAGCGAACAGCCTGAGAACGAGCAGACAGATACGAGGATATCCAACGCAAGGTAGCATCCTCCACCCGGAAGGTGACCTCCAACTTGGCAAGTAAGCCACGATGCCAAACGGTGTCGAATGCCTTAGCCAAGTCGAAAAACACCATTCCCACATGCTCCCCACAGTTCCTCTTTGTCGCTATGTCTTGGACAAGTCGAGTCACCTGGTATTGAGTTGAGTCACCACGGCAGAATCCCGACTGAGCTGGTGAGAGAGCCGGAGCGATGTGCAGGTAGAGGGAATCGAATACAATCCGCTCACAAAGTTTGGAAACTGTGCGCAGCAGAGAGATGGGGCGGTAGTTTGCCGGGCAAGCACGGGAGCCTTTATTCTTGTAAAGCGGTGTCACGATGGCGGATTTCCAATCCTGTGGGAATGTACCAGTTCGAAATGACATATTAAAAATAATGGCGAGAGGATAGGCTATTGATGGTGCAAGAGACTGCAGCACTTCATTCGGGATCCCATCTGAGCCGGGAGACTTTCCACATTTCAGGCGCTTCAGATATTTCCGAACTTGAAACGTAGTGACAGTGATTGTACGGAACGGAACAGATATGAAAGGCGACTGGGACAAAGGGGGAATGCGCCACGAAGGATCATCAGGTAGCCCAAATGAGGTGAACTGAGTGTTCAGAACATCAGCTATGCTCTTGGGGGACGTGGCGACCGTACCGTCGGATGCTATCATCGTTTGGGGCATGACACGGCCGGAAGTGTGCCGCTGTGCTCGCACAAACTGAAAGAGTGTAGGTCGATTCGGTGACGTTAGTGATGCTTGGATGGAGCGTATATATTGACGATGTGCTTGCCGAGACAGGTGCTTTACAGCATTCCTTTGTCGGTTATAAGCTGCATGATTTACTGCTGTCGGATATTTTTTGTACACACTGTATAGATCACGCTTGCGTTTTACAGCAGACCTGAGCTCAGCAGTAACCCATGGTGGAGATTGCATGCGGGGTCGTGGAGATGTCACAGTGTGGGTGGCTCCGAATGAGGTGAGGTGACGACGGAAGGCGGACTGGAGCTCACAATCAAAGTGATGAAGTGCGTCATTAACATCAGTGTACGAGTTCAGAGAGGACCAGTTGTGGCCAGCTAAATCAGCGTTGATTAATTGCCAAAGGTGCGAAGGTACTTGTTTGAAGCGATACAGTGAAGAGGGAGGACCAGTGGAAGAGTTGGGGAAGTAGTTCGAAATAGGGGCGTAACATAAAGTGCAAACAATCTGTATATGGTCAGACATACCCAAGGGAGGTGCTTGATCAATTGAGCGCACGAGGCGTGGTCGGTTGGTGATCACCAAGTCCAGACACGAAACAGAGCCATTAGGCGAGGAATGAGTGGGGAAGTCAACCATCTGGTGGAGCCCAAGAGCAGAAAATACTGTGCTAAGGAGATCACCAGCCTTCGAGGTAGAATCGGTGGGACACCAGCTTGAGTTGTGGGCGTTGAAATCGCCAGTCACTAACAGATCATAAGAATCTAGACAGACTGACTGTAATGCCTCAACAAACATGTCACAAAAGTACGACAATTGCATTGTGCTCTGTGAGGGTGGTCGATACATGCAGCATAGTAAGATGGGATTCTGAGATTGAGTAGAGGGGGAGCCAAGTTCAAGCCACACAGACTCGCAGCCAGGGCGTTGAAGGTCGGCACGAGGGGAGACGTACGGAAAGGAGTCCGAACGGACAAGTACGGCAACACCCCCATACCCACGGCTACAATGCGCTGACCGATTGTCTTCCGGAGGTCGATCTCTGCGGATGCAGATATAGCCTGACAGTGAGAGCGGGTTCGAGGGACAGAGCCACGTCTCTGTTAGGCAGATTATGTCAGGCTTAGCACATTCGGCAATAACGCAGAGCTCAGACAACTTGTTGACAACAGAGCGACAATTCAGAGATACTAGGGTTAAATCACGCTGGGATTTAGGGAAAAAAGGGAACGCTGATGAATTTAGCGCTGGACATGCAATGTGTGCGGGTCGGCCAGAGGAGGGCTGAGCGGGGTAGAGCCGGTGGGCTAGTTTCGATCGTGGGGTGAATACAGGGGCGTTGGGATTTAGTCGTTGTTGCTGCATCGTTGTGTATGTTGGTTTGTTAGCATGACAGTTCAGGATTGATCATCACTGCCTCGCCGCGAAGTAGAAGACGACTTGTTACCTTGGGCATCAGCAAAGCGCCACTTTCGCACTGTGTGCTGGATGGTGGCCGGCCAGAATTTGGAGTCGAGAACTTTGTCCTCGTCCGATGCTGCCACGGTTACGCGAGCATGGCAAGTACCCAGGTACGTGTTTTCTGAAATCGAACAGTTCAGTACGTCAACTTGGCGGGCCTTGCACCACGCTGTTATTGACTCTGCCCTGCAACCCGGACTGACATTTCCAACGTACAGAACAAGCTTCTTTGTACGTTCAGGCCCTGTTAGCACACGCGGGTCGGCTGCCCGGGGCTGAGGTTTCACGTACCGTGACGTAACCCTACGGCGTGTGACTTCCGACCACTCTGCACCTGCAGCACTCGACCCTGGGTTGGATTGCTCAGGTGGGTGTGGTCTGGTGCCATGCATTGACAAAACAGGCTGCGACAAATGGCTGGGGGTGGTGTGAGCGGGGGTCATATGGTGAGTACTAGAACCCGTACTACCCTGTGTGTACTGCATAGGACCATAGGAAATATGGGTGCGTGCACGTGGGGGATTCAAGTCTCCTACGGCGGTGCTGTACAACTTCCCGCCGGACATTGCCAAATTTTGCTGTGCTTCCTGTACGAGAGGGTGTACACAGATTTCCGGTTGTTGGAGCCCCTGAACTTCCCGCCTGAGTTGTTGCACTTCTAATTCCAGACTCAGGATTTTGTCGGCTCTATCCTGTCTCAAGGAGACAATTTCCAGTGACATGCAGCTAATTGAGTCAGTAAGGCTTACAATGGCAAGTTGGAGCTCCGATGTGGGTAGCGAACTCTGCGCCAACACGCCCACTCCACGCTTCCTCAGCTCGCTCACCAGATCCGGCCGGGAGAGGCTCGAGGCTTTATCCACAGACATTTGCTCGCCGATCTTGATGAGCTCCTCGTAGCCAACCAAAGCCAGGTCCAAGTTCGATGTACTTGCACTTTTAAGTGCAAGTACATCGAAAAGAATGAACTGTAATTCTGATGCTCGTCATATAAAACCATTCTGCTCTATCCTTTATTCTATGTAACTTCTACTCGCCATGGGTTTTGAGCCCACATGGAACCTTTCTCCATGTTCTCGTTTTATTGTTTTGTGCAGCTATGTTTGGGAGATTGTGGTAATGAGCATGCCATCAGTGTTGTACTGACCAGATAAACTTCGTGTCTTTTCATTACTTTCTTGCCAGTGCTTCTTTTCTATTCTACTATAGGCTGTCGAAGTGCCTACGTCACGCTGCCTGACAACTCTTAGTCACACGTAGTTACAAGCCCAAGTGGTAACAAACAAAAGTCGCGTCACCTGCACTTGTCGTGTTTCCAACGGTCACAGCATCACTTTGACTGGGGCGCGCTGGTGCAGATCGCGACTTCAAAATTTGTTTTACTTCAACAAGTTTCTCCTTGGCTCTCAAGCCATCGTGCAGTGTTTACCTGCTGAGTGTTACCCAGCACCTGAGAGATAGGAGTTATGATTTTCACTTGCCGCTGGACAAGGAAACCAGCCCAGAGTTGGTTGGTCTCAGAACCAAAAGAAATCAGCGATCGCGGCGATAGAAATACCAGAGACACCGATCATTGTTTCTTGGCCGGCGACTACATGTAAAGTCAAACGACAGTACAGGCACAGCAGTGGCCAAGCAAAAAAATCAGCTACGGCTTCTCCTTCTCTACAAGGCGAAAACTAGAAACTCGGCGACAAGTAGCAGTTTATTTGAAATAAATAGTCTCGCTGGTGCTCTCCTCAGTCAAAAAGATGCTGTAGCTGTGGTCACTGCATAATGCTGCCACTGGAAACACGAAAAGTGCAGGTGACGCGACTTTTGTTTGGCACCACTTGGCCAAGTAACTACGCGTTGTCAAGAAGCTGTGACGTCAGAGTTCGACGGCCTACTATGTCTCTATAATAATAATAATAATATAATATTCGCGGGATCCGCGTTAGCATCACTTGAATGTTCAGAAACACACAAGCTATAGCCTTCGCTTCCGCAGGCCACCGCTATGCCTTTACACCTTAGTAGCGAATGCAGACCTCACAAGTGAGTCAGGGGAGAGGAGGTGAGTCTCTCAACCAATCGGGCGTGTAACGGCCCATAACCCTGTAAACTGCATCCTTGTTATCCTCACTCGAGCTGTGAGTACCCAGTTGACCGTGGGTTTCGGCGCAGTTCAACACGCGTAAAAAGTCTTTTTACACGCTCCCTGCTGCCAGCGCGGGTCTCGAACTCGGGACCTCATGATTCGCAGGCAGGCCTGCAAACCAATCGGCCATATGCGTTGGTCTCTATAATCAAATCGTTAATCCAGTATTCGGCAGTATTCTAGGGTGTTGACATGGGGGTTTGTCTAAGACCATGATTGAGAAATAGATGGTACCAGGTTCAAGTCCTGCCAGGAAGCGGAAGGATTTGTTCCAGCTGTGCTGCGGCCCATAGTCGATAGGAAACTCGTGGCCTGGCACAAGGGAAACATGAATGCAGCAAATGAGCTTTTCGGTCTCGGACCACTTTGGTGGTGGGCCTCCCACCGCTTTAGGAGCTGCTTCTGCACTTTAAATCTTTAAAGGGTGGTGGAGTTCCTACGGATGCTGAAAATTCAGTCTAACTGAGTCTTGAGCGGACCGTGAAATTGATTTCTACGTTTGTTGACAGGGGGTGACTTGGGCCTGTGGAGACTATCCAAAACTGTTATTATTGTTGATGTTATCATTTAACTCGGATGGTGAGCCAATTAAATTATTGTGAAAAGAAGAAGGACAAAATGTTACGAGTTATGAATAACTGTCCACCATTTTGTCGCACTCTCTGACTGTATAAGATCTGGTTACGTTGGTGGGCAGTTAGTCATAACTCGTAACATTTTGTCCTTCTTCTTATCAGGATGTTATCTTTGCATGTGTTATGCACAGACATACCACTATGCCATACCCCACCATTGGAAAATCAATGTGTTATGAACAGACATACAACTATGCCATACCCCACCATTGCAAATCAATGCAACTGTGTTTATATAGAATTTTATTCTTTTTTTCTATTTCGGACATACGTTTTGTAAGTGCAAAGACGGAGACTCAATCGATTTAGGCTAAGGCCTGTGGAAAATCCATAAATACAATTGAAGGGCTCCAATTCAAAACGCTATAAAGACCAAACCGGAGCTTTTGCGTTTTTTTTTTGTAATGGAAGAGTTCATTATCACCCCATGGACGTCTGTGTGTGTCGGTTTTACGGGTCAAAATGAGATACATCCCAGTCTAAAGTTTGTGCTCTTCTGCAAAACACGATAAAGGTGATTGCTGCTGCAGTGCAGACCGAAAAAGAACAAAGGAAAAACTGCAGTTCCTGAACTTTCCATAAAACGGATTTATATCGTTTTGAATCGGAGCCCTTCAATTGCAAATGCGATGCAGAGGTGGATCGTACTCAAATCCGAACATAAAAACGGATGCATCGATGTTGATCAAAAATTGCATAGCTTTAATTTATCCTATCGGACTATTGTCAAAGTGAGATGTTGAGACTTGGGCAGTTATTGTAGAAGAAGGTGGCTGCTCCAGACATTGAACCTACTCAGCTTACTCCAGTTCAGCTGATGAGTTAGTGATGACGAGAGGGGAATTCCCCGAAACACTGTGTGTTGAGCAGAGAGTGGTGCTTTCTTGCAGGCTTCACGAGTGGACCGCCTCACGTACTTCTCATGTGCTCCACACGGCACTCGTGAGTCAGTCGTCTGGGCAGGAAGCGCAAGTTCAAACGTTTGTAGCAGCCATCTTCTTGGACTATTGCTAGTGCCGAGAAATGGAGAGGATTGAAACACTCCTTCATAGATAGTAGCAGCCTGAAATTTGGGAATCTGAAAAAAATAGATTGTTGTAGGTGACCTTCATGCAAAACAGATTTTTGCCAAAATGTAGGTAACATTCAATTTCTCCATTTCTACCTTGTTCACTCACACATGATGCAACCAGGCGAAATTGTTTCTGTGCGCATTTCTCCACCATACAGGGCAACATGTAACTGCTGGTGGCACTTCGGATGTAGGTAATTTCCAGAGCCACTAGCCATGCTTCATATCCTATGAGCTCATACACGTAAGTAGCGTAAAGTACAGCGAGTACTGCGCGTCCTTTTCTGGTCGTATTGTGGACGTGGTGTCCTGCCACACGAACCGTGTATACACATTGCATGTTGTGCAGTCAATCCGTATACACGTTAACTTTTGGCGGACACGAGCTGCACACAAAAACCTAAGTGTGACTTTAGTACACTAAGGCTCTCACATCGCACACAATCTATTGCACTCTGCCATACATAGCCAGCAATCGCATGTCACCACGTACATTGAAAATCAACATAATTTTGCGAATCGACCTTTTTTTCAGGATCACTTTTCAACGAGGACGAAGCAAAGTCGGCCGAACGAAGCCTAGAGGAAGAAAATCACCCTCTCCACTTCACCATCACGATACTGACATAGATACGAGATGAAACAACTAAAAAATCCACAAGAAAACTGTACGGCCATCATCGCGCTGACTTTGGTCTGACTTTGGTCTGAGAATTTCTATCACGATCCAAAATGTACGAGGAGCACTCAAAAATAAGCCACAGACGTACCTTACTCGCTCTCTACTCCTTTTTCAAGGCACAAAAGTCGACTCTCCACTTTCAAACCAGGAACCAGACAGACCAGTGGTCCTTTTCAGCTGCTCCACGAGCGCAGGAAAGGTTCACCAAGGGGCGCAGAGCAGCATCCATTCCAGAAAAATAGCTAAAATACGAGTGAGACTGCATGCCTGAGTACATGAGTACATGTATGAGTACATGCAGAAAATAGTCAATTTCAGCGTTTCTGCTCCAAACAGCAACTAGCTTCGACTAGAAACAAAGATTACACCAAAGGATCAAACAACAACCATTTTCTGCAGTTTTTTTGCAGATGGCTTCCTTGTGCTTGGCCCAGCACGCCAAAAATCACACCTGGGAGGAGTACAAAAATTACAACTCTCAGATGTCCTCGATTGCTGGCCATGTAGGATTATGTGTTTTCCCTGGCTGTGAAATCAAGGTGGGGTGCTCTGGTGGTAATTTACAGTAGAGACCAAGAGCAAACAGTACACAAGCCGCCACACCAGTATAAAGTAGAAATTTATAGTAAGATCCTACCTGTGAACCTTCTTCATCTTGAAGGTGAGAAGGATGGCACATGCCACTGTCACGACGCTTACTACACTAGCAATGCCAACGATAGCTGCAGTTGATACACGCTGCTTTGTAGAATCATCGGCAGTGGAAGGCGGATGCAAGGATCGTGTTCCACTTGACATAGCTGATTTTAAGATGTAGGAGGTAGCGAGTTTGTGTGTGAAGTAGTCGTGGGGTCGTGGGCAGAAGCGCCGATGAAGTGGTAGTTGAACCGTAGGTTGTGACATTTTGGGCCACAAAAGGACATAAACAGAAACGAGGCATTCAGTACGAGATGTCGAGCAGCAACTAGTTACTTCTGACACACTGAGTGGTGTGGTACGGGCATACTGGGCCTACACAGAGTACACACCGAACCTACCATGAAAGACACATACATTCTTGCTCGCCTAGACGTATACAGCGTGCACACCGAGCCACCATGAAAGACACATACATCTTTGCTCGGCTAGAAACAATTCTGCCACAAGTCTTTCTAGTAGATGCTGAAGAAAGTTGTTGTCACTGCACTAATAGTCACTTCTGCACCAGTAGATGCAACACAGTGGTCATACAGTGTTTTCAAAACCCATTGCCGTGCTTGATGCACTCACTGAAAGTGCAAGGCAAGGAGAAACAGAATAGAACGTACCACTGGTTTCATGACTTGTAACAAGTTAGGAGAGACTTCTAAATAGAACACAGCAAAATACACGCGCATATATTATACCAGCGATTTTAGGGTAACAAAAGGACATAAACGAAAACGAGGAATTCAGTACCAGAGGTCGAGCAGCAACTAATTACTTCTGACATGCTCTGTGGTGTGGTACAGACGTACTAGTTGTATACAGAGCACACACCGAGACTACCATGAAAGACAAATACATCTTAGCACGGCTAGTTGTATACGGAGTACACAACGAGCCTACCATTAAAGACACATACATTTTGCATGACTTGTCGTATAGAGAGTACACACTGAGCCTACCATGAAAGACACATACATCTTCGCATGGCTAGAAACAATTCTGACACATGTTTTTCTAGTACATGCTGAAGAAAGTTGTTGTCACTGCTCTAATGGTCACTTCTGCACCAGTAGATGCAACACAGTGGTCATAAAGTGTTTTCAAAACCCATTGCCGTGCTTGATGCACTCACTGAAAGTGCAAGGCAAGGAGAAACAGAATAGAACGTACCACTGGTATCATGACTTGTAGAAGAGACTACTGAATAGAACACAGCAAAATACACGCACACAGATACCAGCGATTTTAGGGTAGCAAAAGGACAGAAATGAAAACGAGGAATTCAGGACCTGAGCTAGAGGTCGAGCAGCAACTAGATACTTCCGACATGCTCTGTGGTGTGGTACAGACATACTAGCAGCGTCTGCTCTAGGATTGTAGGACAGCCGGGTACACGTGTACCTGGCGCAACCATTTCAACCGGCTCGGAGCCGTGTACACATGTGCCTGACGCTGTCTCACCAGCCGAGTCACATGCGAGGTCTGTGGATTCGCCTCTTCGCTGGAGGCTCAAAGCAACACCTCAAACGATCAAGCTCAAACTGAGCACTTGCACACACCGGATACTGACTACTTTCACTTCGGTGTGCGCCTCCGCATGATCTGTCACACATACAAGCCATGTAGTCAATCCCTTCAAAGTTCGAGCGTGTAAAGTACGAACCGGGTCACAGGTGATCCAGTACTATATTTTCAACCAGGTCCAAGCGCCGTCCAACCAGGTCGATTACCCGGCTCACCCGGCTCTGGAGCAGACACTGACTAGTCGTATACGGAGTACACAACGAGCCTACCACGAAAAAGACATACATCTTTGCACGACTTGTCGTATAGAGAGTACACACTGAGCCTACCATGAAAGACACATACATCTTTGCGCGGCTAGAAACAATACTGCCACAAGTCTTTCTAGTACATGCTGCAGAAAGTTGTTGTCCGTGCTCTAATGGCCATTTCTGCACCAGTAGATGCAACACAGTGGTCATACACTAGTGTTGAAGTGAGCGTATCTATAACAAACGAGCGTATCTATAACAAACGAGCGTATCTATAACAAACGAGCGATCGGTTCCACTAACGAGCAAGCTATCGAGCGAGCTAACGAGTTTCATTGATGTGGCAAATATATTTTTTTGAATATTTTTTCTACGTTAGATTTTTTTCAGCTGGTTCAAATCATCACCGCAGGCATTTGGGATTGCTGCTGCTTCACTTCGGACTGCTGTTTGGTGTCGAGATGTCTTTTCAGCGCCGTCGTTGAGTAGCCTTTGTAAGAATAGGCCGTTTTGCAAAGATTGCAAGTAGCCCTGGTCTTCGCTGCATCGCGGGAGAAAATTTCCAAACGACTGAGCGTCACTTTCACTCGACTGGAGAGGCGACCGAAGCATATCCTGCGTCAGGTCAGCAGATGCGGAACAAGACATTTGTGGAGTCCACCAAAGCTGCAACGGCAACTGAAACAACTCAAGTGTCGTGCAGGCACTGTATAGTCACCGTAACTGCGAGTGATTTTCACTTTGCGCGGGACTGGACTCTCGATCGACCAGGGAGTTGTAAAATATGTTACGACTCCCCAGTCAACATGTACTGTCATGTGTATGGAGTACGGTGTACGGTGTTCGTTAGTGCAAATGAGCTGCCCGCACAAACGAGCCGAGTTTCTGGCGAGCGAGCTAACGAGTATCCGGTGAGATCGTTTCAACACTATCATACAGTGTTTTCAAAACCCATTGCAGTGCTTGATGCACTCACTGAAAGTACAAGGCAAGGAGAAACAGAATAGAACATACCACTGGTATCAGGACTTGTAGGAGAGACTACTAAATAGAACACAGCAAAATACACGCACATAGATACCAGCGCATTTAGGGTAACAAAAGGACATAAACGAAAACGAGGAATTCAGTACCAGGGGTCGAGCAGCAACTAATTACTTCTGACATGCTCTGTGGTGTGATACAGACGTACTAGTTGTATACAGAGCACACACTGAGACTACCAAGAAAGACACATACATCTTAGCACGGCTAGTCGTATACGGAGTACACACCGAGCCTACCATGAAACACACATCAGTGGCGGATCCAGGATTTGGCCGAAGAGGGGGCCCAAGGTATCCGTCCCGGATGCCCCCTGCCCCCCCCCCCCCCCCCCGGGATCCGCCACTGCTCATACATCTTTGCACGGCTAGAAACAATTCTGCCACAAGTCTTTCTAGTACACGTTGCAGAAAGTTGTTGTCACTGCTCTAATGGCCATTTCTGCACCAGTTGATGCAACACAGTGGTCATGCAGTGTTTTCAAAACCCATTGCAGTGCTTGATGCACTCACTGAAAGTGCAAGGCAAGGAGACACAGAATAGAACGTACCACTGGTATCAGGACTTGTAGGAGAGACTACTAAATAGAACACAGCAAATACACGCATAGATACCGACACACAAGCATATGCGTTATAGACAGAAAGGCAGAGATGGAAAGAAGCAAGTGAAAACCTAGATTCCAGCTACCAGTGATCCCCATGTGAAGTACACATAGGTTTTGCCATACAGGAGTGTGTACTCAAACATTGCCAGTGGCATTAGTGTTCAGCGCCTGTCTCTAAGCACCCAAGCATGAACCATGGCACAATTCACAACACATCAATGTGAAGTTGTGTGATGCATAGCACATAAGTCACTTACCCACACACTTGCTCCCTGCCCATATATAGTTTAGTTTACAAATACAGTTGACAGTGCCTTGTCCCATCACGTGATTACAGGATTCAACATTGATGTCATCGGAACATCTAACTTTGCAACCTGGAATGGAAATAGAAGAGAACGGGTGCAAAAGTGTGCCATTTACCGGTATTATTATAGACCAGCATGTTGGTGTGTTTGCTTGGAACTAGGATAATTCAAGGTCTATTTTATACTCGGATGTTGAGCCATAAATAAATGTAGAAGAGAAAAGGACATATGGATACGAGTTAAGAGTAACTCTCCATCACTGTAACATGATACTATATACAGTCAGAAAGTGCAATAACTAGGCACAAAACTGACAGAGTACTGAGACTCGTATCCATATGTCCTTTTTTCTTCTACATTTATTTATGGCTCAACATCCGAGTTTCAAATTGCACACCTGATGAGCCGTCACGAACCATACGGCGAAACGTACGTCGTGTGAAACAACTTGTTTTGTAGTCAACTAGTCCATCACAATGTCATGCATGAGGAGTACGGTAGGAGTTTGGCTTTCGGCTTGTACAATTCGTTTTCGCAAAGCTTCCCTTTCTTTACTTATCTTTGATATTTATGACCCACCCAAGTTGGGTGGTGTGCTGCTTTGCTGCTTCGAATTGTAGTTAGACCGCTTTGTCAAATATCGTACTGGTCTCGTCATCATCCAGTAACAATGGACATTCTTTGTTCCGTTTGGACTGTAGCTTTTGCTCGTTTTCGTTGCGCTTGCCTTCCCCTCTTTGGTCTTTCCATAACCTTGACCCTTCCAAGTTGGAAGGCTGTCGGTTAGCGCTACAAAGATGTGTTGAAGTTAGGTGTCAGGACGTCGAATGTCTCAGTACTCTGTCAGTTTTGTGCCTAGTTATTGCACTTTCTGACTGTATAATTATAGTATCATGTTACAGTGATGGAGAGTTACTCTTAACTCGTATCCAGATGTCCTTTTCTCTTCTATTTTATACGTTAGTTTTATTACGCAAGTCGTCATTGTCGGCAAAAACGGATAGTGAGCGTGAAATTGTGTGCTAGAGTGATCACTATGTTTAGATAGGCATAGCAAGTAGAATGTGACCTCCATCACCAGTTAGTAACACTTTGAGACACCAATGACCGATGCACAACTTCACGGCCATTTTAAACCGCTTTCCAACTGTTCTCGTTCGGCAACTCGACAGACCCAGATAAATCTGGAAAAATAACTCACTGCTTCACACTCTTAAAACCCCGAAAAAACAACCCTCATCACTAGTAGTGTGGAAACGATCTCACCGGGTACTCGTTAGCTCGCTCGCCAGAAACTCGGTTCGTTTGTGCGGCCAGCTCATGTGCACTAACGAACACCGTACTCCGTACACATGGCGGTATATATCGACCGGGGA